GAAAGCATATAGTAATGTGTAAGGCTTTGTATTTATAGCACTATTTCCCTATGTTTTCACAGCCTTTTATACTAATATTCTTAGATTGCTTTGCATATCAAATAGGCTATTTTAATGTAATCTGATATAAAATTATGTATGGAGGCACATGTGTGTATTTTATTATATGTTTACATGGATAATATAAATCCATTTATGCATTTAGAGATGCTTAGATGTATTTCAAGATATTGAGAAATAGTTGTCTCTGGGTAGTTTGGATTTATGTGCATGTATTTTTTTCACATTTAGATACATTTCTGAAATAATTATGTGTTATTGTATTGAATGTAGCTGTATTCATTTTGAATACCAAATGAAACCAAATGTCTGCACCTGAATTTTTAAATTATGTTTATTATGTTAATCTCATGTTCTTAACCCATGTCATGTGTGGATTCTTCTTTTAGCTTTAGCAAGGATATGTATTTTTTTCATTGTGCTATGTTGATTGTTCTATACCATGTCAATACTAATTTTAAATCTGAGAATATCATACCCTTTGTTAATTCTGATGTTAGGTTTATGAGGCTTTTTCTACTTGGCATTCTTTCTTGACCACAATGTAGATAGTATAATATGATTTGGCAAACTATGGTCTATGGCCCCCTGACTGTTTATTATATTCAGTAGTATCCACCTGAAATGGTTCTAATAGATGAATTTTGCAATGTAATAACATTAACTTTGAACCTCTGTTACACAAAATATTATCCTCCAAAAATGAGTTTCGTTCTTCTCAACAGAAGGCTTATGTTACAAAAATATTACAGCAAATTCATTATATTTTTGAATTTCATTAGTGAAATTTTTCATATATTTTTTCTCTTTTCATTACCGACATATAATACCTTTGGTTTTGCTTCCTTGCCTGCAGAGCCTAAATTTTTACTATTTGACTGTCTATAGAAAAAGTCTGCCAACCTCAGTTCAAGTGTGCCAATCTCAGTCCTTAAAGAAATCCACACTGGTTTGGTGCCCACAGACACCCCCTGCTTCAGTTCAGTAGCATTTTGAAATGTGGCCTGCTGGAAGCACATACGCTGTATCCTTTGCTACCCAAAACTGCTTAGTTCCTGTGTTACAAAGTAATAGTGTTTTCAAAAATAGGGATAGAAATATGTTTGTTTCCTAATTTTGAGAATAGGGTTTTAGACAGTGACAGGATCCTATAGTTTATCTCCTGTTTATCATAAGTGCCTAATCTATACATGGTAAATGTTATTTTCCATGACATTTACTACTACTGTACAACTGAATCAGTGAGACACTCCCATAGAGCTCTCCTGTTTTTTTAAATTAATGTATAACTTTATTATCATTCACTAAACATACACATATACAAAAATTAAAATTATTCAAAGAAAAGCAGTGCAAGGGAAAAAAAACTATAATAATATTCAAATATAATAGAACTCAACCAAAGCAAAAGCGAAAAGTACTTAAACATTTTTCCATATAATTAAAAAAAAATCGCAAGCATTAAGAAGACATCAGAAGATGTGATTTGTTTTAGAAAGATTTTCAAAACTAATACTGAACAAATAGTGGTTTGGAGAAAAAATTCTAATTAACTAGTAGATTCTACATAGGCCAGATTATTTTTTTATTTAAATTTCAATACAGTCATGTGACACATGATGGAAATATAATCTGAGAAATATGTTATTAGGCAATTTCATCCATATGTATCGCAAAGTACCACACAGAGTGCCAACTTCTAAGTGCAAACTGAAAAGGTATACGTCAATCATCTGTGATGGCCCCTTGATGTTATCCAAATACGCAGTTAAACATGAGATACGTGGAGCTGTCCTGTTTTTTGATGAGAAAATGTTAGTTAGAAATACCATGGCTTTTAATAGTATATGAAAAACCACCCGGCTAACTCGTTAATACCAACAGATGTATCTGTTGTCATTCTCTGGGTAGGTGACTTGTTATCCTCTGTAATGTTATGTAAAGGATTTAGTTTCTGTAGTTCGCCTGACAGCTAACATCTTTAGCACCCCTTCTCTGCTCATTCATATATGCTGACATGTCTTCAAGGTCATGCAGCAAAGTCACTTCTTTAATAGCAGTTTTCTGAGTAGCAGTAGGTGGAATTCTGTCTTCTCTGCCTTGATACTGATTGTGAATGCCACCTCATATCACATGTAGTCTTAAAATGAGAGAAGGAAACACCTTTTCATTGATACAAATGTTCCGGAAAAAGATTTTGGAAAACAATGTGGATGGATTATAAATTACTAAATAAGCCTAATGATGTTTTTCTTTATATATTTGATTCTCTCAGGCAGAAGTACATTTGATATTATGATATTAAAAATTTCTGTTACTGTATATCTCTTTTCTAGCTTCTGCTGCTCATACTTTTCTTTTGCACCTCTCCTTTCTTTACTACCATTTTCACTCTTTCTTTCTTTTTTTTTTTGGTACCGGGGATTGAACTCAGGACCTTGTGCTTGCGAGGCAGGCGGCAGCACCACTGAGCTAAATCCCTGGCCTCTTCACTCTTTCTTTTGATAGGATCTTTAAACCATTTTTAAAAGTCTGTTAAACTGAAAATTGTTATAAGCAAACTGCAGAGGTTAAAGTAATCGTGGAACAACTTTTTATGTGAAATGCTGGAATTGTTGGTAAATTTGTCAGCTTTCATGTAGAGTTTCATTTTAACATTAACGTATCATTTTGATCTGTGACGGTAATCTAGAAGAGTAGGCACGTGGCTGAACTTTTAGTTTATCCGTGTATTGGTAATGTTTTTATAGCAGTAGAATCACAGTGAAGTTACCTTGTCTTGCTATATAAGATAAAAATTTTTATTCAAGAGGTTTCAGATCCCTTTCCAAATTTGTACTTCGATGAACACATACACCTTTTATTCATAGTAAATATCTGATATATTAAGATTTTAATCTTGAGTTTAGACTTACTTAAAAATCTGATATATTGGAATGCTTTTCTCTGCTTGAGGAATTTTACTTAATTCATGTTGTTATAATGAAAGTTAATACACCTGACACTCATATATGTTTATACACACAGATACATAGTTTTCATGTGAAATTCTACTCTTCAGATATCCTTATACCTCTATGATTTTCCTTTTATGGATTTCCCTTTGCCTCTGCCTCAACCTCCTTTTTTGTTTATAAAGCACTATTTGACAGTTGTGTGATAGAAATTTTATATACGTCAATGTAGGAAACCTTCTAAAATACTTGTGGACAGCCTTCCTTTTTAGAAGCTATGTGTACAATGCTTAGAACAGGATGATGGATGTAGTTGGTGGTAGAGTGCATGCTAAGTAGGCATGAGACCCTGGGTTGGGTTCCCAGCACACACACCCCACTTTAGAGCAATAGCAAATTTTACTTGACTTTCATTTTATGAAAAAATAAATGGAGATATTTTTGCTCAAGTGTTTACCTTTAGATTGATACTAAGATAGAGATAGTAAATTAAAATTACTACTTCAAATATCAAAGAACTTAATTCAGTGTATAAATCTAAAACAAATTAGTGATTAATTTTCCCTAGATCAGGTCTGTGAGGAGCTAATTGCTTTTGTAAAGTCTCCCAGACCTCAGAACATGACTGTATTCATTCATTTTTATATTTTCTGTTTGTAATGGCAGGACAAGGGCAGCGTTGCATGGGCACATTAGACAGTAGAGATGGTATATTACGCAAAATCCAGTGGCACCTGATTGAAAAACTTTGCCAATCTCTGCAGATATAGAATATCATCTTTGTCGTTATCATGGTTGTTGCTGGGTATATGTTTAGAGTGTTTTTATTCTTTCTTCGGTCTCCCACCGCTGTTCAGGGTGTTTATCCCTGAATATGTAAGAGAATTCCTACCTAACTTTCCTATAGCTACCCACATCCCTACCACTATTCTTCTCCTCTACATTTTGCTTGCAGAACAATTTTTCCAAAATTGAAATCTCATTCCACTACTTCTCAAATAAAACCCAAACTTTTTGGTGACTTCTGTGGAGCTTCTGACATCCTGAAGAACTTACCTACCATTTCTACCTTATATTTGTTTCTAAAATGGAATATCTAAATAGATTCAAATTAGAATGGGTTTCTTATCATACTTAAAACCGAATTCCAGGCTGAGCGTGGTGACACATCTGTGTAATGCTATCAACTCTGGAGACTGAGGCAGCAGGACACAAGATCATGCATGGGCTGCCAAGGCAGCTCCCTGAGACCCTGTGTCAAACTCAAAACAAAACAAAAATAAAATAAATAAACAATGACAAAAAGATAGCTAAATTTCTTGGTCCAGGGGTATTCTAAGAATTTTTCTGTGTAATTATTCCTTATGCGCTAAGTCATTATCTTCTAGTGAGAAGTGAACACCTGTTTATAGAAGCAGAGTCTATAGTTTCCTTCCTTTTTGTGGCCACTGTGCCTGTATACTTGAAAGTTATTTCACTTCCTATATATTATCTCTGAATAAATTTCTTATGTCTTAGCTTCCTATTAAACTGCAATAACGTGGATTTTCATTCCTAGTGTTTAGCATGGTGTCTAATTAGTATTTGAGTAAATGATTGAATTAACAACTTTCACTGTATTATATGACTTAAGTTTTTATCATTCTATGCTTGTTAGAAAATCTTTTAGGAAAATAAGCCTGACTCATCATTTTTGTTACAACTCTATATAAGAAATCGGATGCCTAGATCCTGTTTTCTGACTTGGCACTCCATGCAGGAAGGAACAGAATTCCCTTCTCTAAACTTTATAGATTCCCGACGTGGAGTTTTGATTGACATTCATTGTGAAACTCCTACCGATAAAACAAATTTTTTCATTTACTAACCTATTCTTAGGGAGATTTCAGAATGAGACAATCATTTCTATTACTATTTGGTGATGTGTTATACCCTTAGCAAAATCCACATAATTTCAGCTATTTTTGTATCTTGTCTCATCTCTAGGTTCAGGACATCTGCTTCAGCCATGACTGTCGCTGGGTTGTGGTCAGTACCCTCCGGGGTACCTCGCATGTTTTCCCCATCAACCCTTATGGTGGCCAGCCTTGTGTTCGTACTCATATGTCACCACGAGTAGTGAATCGCATGAGCCGTTTCCAGAAAAGTGCTGGGCTGGAAGAGATTGAACAAGAGCTGACGTCTAAGCAAGGAGGTCGTTGTAGCCCTGTTCCAGGTCTATCGAGCAGCCCTTCTGGCTCACCCCTGCATGGTAAACTTAATTTCTCTCTCTCCACTGCTCCCTTCAACCTTCCTTGACTGCATTTTTAGTTTTAGGGAGCTAAGGTAAAATAAAAATTTTTGCAATCTGTTCATAGAATGACAAGATCTTAAACTCATTTAAAACATTCTTATTTATTAAATCATTAATGAACGCGAGCCATTATAGTAACGATAATCTTTACCATGCTCCCTAACTAAGGATATAAGTTTTGGTATCATGCTTATATAATTTGAACTACTTTCATAACTTTAGAGAACTGATCTACATTTCCACATATGTCTTCTAGAATATTCTGTCTGGAATGGGCCAGTACTATAGTTTATTAAGAAATACTCATTGTTGCAAAAGAATAGTCATTAGTCATGTATACTTTAGATAGAGCAGTCATTTTATTTTATTTTAAAGTACCCTCTGTGGGATTTATGCTGGTACGTTACAGGAAAAAGAAGTAAAGATGTATCTCAGGAATTTATCTGAGATACATCTTTTATTTTATCTCTATTATAGAGCAAATAATTACATAACCACTATACTGGTCAGTCAGTGGAATCTTATCAAAATCTCTTTTCTGTACCCCTTCTCTATAATGTTAAACTATGATTCAGGTTTTTATGGTATTCACTTTCTTTTTTTTTTTGGTACTGGGGATCAAACTCGGATTCTTGTGCTTGTGGGGCAGGCGATGGAACCACTGAGCTAAATCCCCGGCCCTCACTTTCTTATTTTTTATAAATAGTTCTATTTCTAAGGAAGTATCCTAAATGTTGTTTTTCATATTTATATAAATAGAATTATAGAATATTTATATTCTAGTACATTTACTTTTTGGATATTATATTCATAAGATTCATTCATGATATTACAAGTAGATTTAGTTCATTTATTTCTGTTGTTTGCTTTGATAATTGTTCTGTGTGGTGAAAAATTATTTTAGGCAGTATACAAAACAGTTTTAAGTATTTCTAACCTGCCTTGTTTTTTGAGGCTGTGTTTAAAATTCTTTTCTTATTCCTTTGTGGAGATCTGCTTCCATTCATTTATCTTTTCTAATATTGTTCATGTACATTTGTGTGGTTTCTAGTTTGGAGTTTTTCTAATGATGCAATGAAAATTTTTCTACTGTTTCTTGGTATAAATGTATACTTATCTTTGAATGGAAATTCTCAGTCATTACATTGTTAATCTTAATCTTTGTAAGTAATATCAGAGCGATTATACCATTTCAGTCTCATCAGAATGCCTTAAAATGTGGGCATTTGATTACTCTTTTTCCATATTCTTCTTGTTGATAACCATTTTAGGTTTTCAAGATTGAGGTATTGTGCCGAGCATTGCGGCACACGCTTGTAATCCCCTGTACTTAGGTTGCTAAGGTAGGAGGATGACAAGTTCAAGACTGGCTTGGGTAATTTATTGAGCTTCTGTCTCGAAATAAAAAGAGAGATAGTGATAAATTAAGAAGGATTTGTAGTCCTTCTGTTTGTATATCATCAGGGAATATTCTCTTACATGTCTTTTTTTCTCCCATTCTTCCTTTTTCATTCAGCAAACCACATAACAGCTTTTGTTCTAGGCTTTGGGCAGAGTGTGCACAAAAAATTAAGGTTATTCTTGTCCTCCTAAGTCTTTTACTTCAAGAGAAAGACAGACATTAAATGACTATATACAAATACCTTTGAGTATATTTTGGTGAAGGTTGCAAAGTACCAACCAATGAAAGATTGTATCATTTGTAAAAGGACAATAGTTGAAGAGTAATTCTAGATTTCCAAATCAAAGTATACTCCTTCTAGCTTTATTGATTGCATTGTTTTCATTATTTTATAGAAATTTCAAAAAGATTCCACATTCTTTGACAGTACTTAGAATTTTAATTTTCTTCTATATGGCAGGAATTTCAGGAGACATCCCCCCCCCCAGTAACACATGTGTTAAAATGTTACTCTCAGAATTTCACCATCATGTGTGTAGATTTTGGAAGCAGAGACATTAAAGTGACAGTCATTTTTCTTCATTTTCTTTCTGTGTCTTACATGTCAAAACAAAATGGGCATTGTTGTTGGTTAGTTCTAAAAATGAAATATTTACCAGTTTGTGTGAGTAAACCTTTAAACAGGGAGGGAGTCATCTTGAAAATGAATCATGTTTTGGCGGTAATACTGTTGTTGTCTGTGCTCTTTTTAGCAAAGTAAAGGAAACTGTTAAATAACAATTGATATAGGGGTGTTTCCTTTTTACTTTTTGGAGGCAATCCAGTTTAGGTTAGGATTATTTTATCTATTTGCCTTTTCCCAGAGGATGTTTATTTATTTGAAATATATTCTTTCTAAATATCTCTTTCATTTCCTAGCTTGTTGCCAGGACCTTAGTGTAGATGAGGACTTCTTAAATTGAAATTCATGGACAGAGACAGGAAAAACAATTCAATCTGTATATTCACTACCCTTTGACCAAAAGTAAGCATTACTTTTCAGTATGAGTATAGAAAACATATGTAATAATGTTAGCAGTACTTATGACATTGTTACCAATAGAAAATACAGATGTTTTCCTATCACAGTGTATATGAAATATATATATGTCTTGAATTACTGAATATTTCTTCAAATATTGTTTATACTTATCATTGCCTTCAAATTATTACATACAATTGTAATATTAAATTGAATTTCTTCTGAATATCACTATACTACATTTTAGCTGTTTTAATATAATCATTTTCATTTTAATTATACACATTATATTCCATGCATTTATGCCTATTATTCAGAAAAGGAATCCACAAATCCACTGTGATGCAACAATGGTTATAAATTTCGGATCATGACCCAGTCATTTTTCCTGTCATACCACAGATATCTCCTCTGTTAACCATAGGATCTACTAGTTTTGTACTTAAAATTATTGTGTCTCACTGTGCTGCTAGAATGTTAGAGAATGTCCCATCTTATTTCTGTCTTTTTGTTCCACTATACCTAGATTTCTGTACTTTTCTATGAATATGCCACATATGTTCATTTTTTCTTTCCTGTATGTGCACTTTTCTTGAAATAATTTTTACTCTTTAGAATGCCTACTCAACTAGCTAAAATATCACTTAATCCCTTAAGTCTTGTCTTGATGTTGTAAATGTGTAAACCTCAGTATGGATATCTGTACATACTTCTATCCTATGTAATACGGGAATTATTCATGTCCGCACCTCATATTATATTGACTTCCATAATGACAGAGGCTTTTTTGTTTTTATCTTGGCACTTTACATATTAGTTGGTAAAATGTAGACTCTAAGGCTTTTACCATCTTTAAATGTTATTTTAAGAAAAACAAATGGAGGGCCGGGGATTTAGCTCAGTGGTTCCACCACCTGTCTCTCAAGCACAAGGTCTCGAGTTTGATCCCTGGTAGCAAAAAAAAGAAAGAAAGAAAGACAAGTGTGATTTAAATCATTACTTGCCAGAAAGAAGAAATTTTCATTTGTAATGATTCCAGGTTTCATTTTAATATATGTAAGATACAATCATTTGTTGAGCAACTATGAATTACTGTGTTATGTCTAGGCATTGTTTTGAGCTCTACGAATACAAAAGTGAACAAAAATGGAAAATGTCCCTGTTTCTATGCAGCCATGGAGAAAAGGAAAGAGTGGAAATAGAATAGGAAATGCCTGGAGAGGATGGCTATTTCAAATTAGTATCCTTTTTGTAGGCCTTTACCGAAATGATGACATTTCAGCAGAAAATGGAAGTGAGAAAGAAAATGATGCAGATACTGGTGGGAATATGCCAGGAATTTTCAAAAAAAAGCAAGGAGGCAAAAAAACAGTAAGATGCTTAACAGGTGATGAGCTCAGAGCGGGTAATGTGGCCAGGTTGTGTCAGCCTTTGACTTAGGGAGAAGGGAAGGCTATGGAGGGTTTGGAGAATAAGGTTGAAGTGATAAAACAGTTTTTGACACGATTCAAGTGGACATCTGTATGGAGAAAGCGTAGTCTCTAAGTGGACAAGGTAGAAACCTAGTGAAACCACTTAGTAGAATATTGGAACAATCCAGGCAAGAGAAGATGAGGTTTGGAGCAGGTTGTTTATAGTGAGGTTGGCCAAAGTCACTGGATACTTGATTTCTTTTTTATAGTAGGACCACCAGTGTTTCTGGTTCATTTATGATCAAGTGTGAAAGAACAGATGAGTCAAGGTGACTAGTAAGGCTTTTTACCTGAGTAACTAGAAGAGTGGGGTTGCCATCAACTGAAGTAAAGAATGCTATAGGTAAAGCAGATTTGTGGATGGGGACAGGAAGAGGAGTTTTTGACATGTTAAATAATTGTATCTTTGGCGCCTAGTAATGTCAGTTATCTGTGCCTCAGATTCACTGGAAAGCATTCATTTATATGGAGACAAATGTTTGGAAGGCATAGACCATAGTTAAAACTGAAAGCAGGATGAGATGGCCTGATGCGGGATTATAAATGAGAGGTGCCCTGGAACTGACCCTGGGGCTCTCCAACAATGGAAAAGCATGTATGAGAAGTCTTAGAGGCCAAGTAAATAAAATTTGGGAGTGTGTGTGTGAAGGAGAAGGGAATAATGAATGTGTTAGATTCTACTGATAGGCCAGTGCAGGTAAGAAGTAAAAAAATGACAGCATTAAATTTTTCATGTAGGAGATACGTGACTTTTGTTCTAACAGTTTTGGTGGACTAGTGGAGGCATCATTTGAGGAGATTTTAGTAAGAAGGGGAATTGGCAATATCACTTTTTTTTTAGCGTCTGTGCCCAGTATTCATTTTCCCACTCTGAAACTGTTTATAGCCTTCATTTGATGGTTTATTGTAATTATTTATTTTTGTTGATCGGGAGTTTTCTAGATACAGACCACATCATAATTGTAAATAGAAAGCAACCACATATTGCAGCCTTATATGATTTCACCTACTTGCAAGAATCAATAATAATGTGATGTTTCTTGACTTCTCTTTTCACATTATT